CAGCTGATTTTTTGCATTGAGTTGACAGAGTAATTTGAGTTAACGAGCTCGGTCTCCGAACGAATTAAACTCATAAGTCAAGGCCCCCCTGTATTTTGTGGAAGAGCCACACTCAAGGGGCCAAAGAGCCTCATGTGGCTCGCGAGCCTCAGTTTGCCGACCACTGTCTGTTAAAAGAGTTCATCTTCCTACCACCTGAATTCCTGCCCCCTTTTTCCCCTTTTTGCCTTTGCTGACTCACACTATTTTCTCCTTGTTTCCTCCAGATTACAGTACCTACAGCCAAGCTGCAGCCCAGCAGGGGTAAGTCAGCCTTTTACAACAGTATTTTGTGTGTAATTGATTAATGGAACAGAGCCTGCTTATAGTTGTGGGGGATTTAGTAATGGAATCTGAATGTTCTATATTCAGTTTTTGCATTTAATTTATCTTACAGCTACAGTGCTTACACCGCCCAGCCCACTCAAGGATATGCACAGACCACGCAGGTAATCTTTAAGATAAATATATATGTAGCTGCATCCCTAAATAAAATGTTTCTATCAACCATTCAAACAATAGCCAGCACAATTCTTTTTCAAAAGTTAGGTAATAGAAAAGTGTAATGTGCTTGTAATAAAAATAACCAGGCATTTTAAACTTTCACAATGGGGATGCCATTATATATGGATCCATCCCCAATCTGGGAGTTGCCAGCTCTCCATACCGTTCTAGTATCATTTCTCAAGTTAGGTACCCTGCTCCATGCTTGGTCCTTCTATGTATTCACCTTCTACAGAGGAAGGTGATATGACATCTGGCAAATGGAAAAATGCAGGGCATAGATATTAAGGCATTTACCAGTGGTCAGACAGTAAGTGGAGGGTCAGCTTGTATCGCTACCTGTAAGAGGTTAAGGGTTCTTCAGTAAATGAGTCCGTCTTTAAAACCCTAGGCCAGCAGATTCTAGAAATTAGCTTCCAAGTGTTCTCAGGATCACCTCACATTCTGAAATGGTCTGGCTTAAAAATGGGTACTAATAACTGCCATAGAAACATTCTAGAACAGGCAGAATGATGTGATGTCTCTGGCAGATACTACGTAACTGGTCATTCAGATCTAGAATATGATCGTGCTAATATCTGAAAGAACACCTCATTTCTTGCCAATTTTCTGTATTACTGATGTCCAAGTTCAAAAGACAGTGCTGTTGATGTGCTAACCTTAAGGAGACATGCAGTGTTCTAGTTCATTTTCTTGGAGGCGAAATCTTTGTCCTACTGAAAATCTGGTTTTCAAAATTATCTGTAGATTTGATTTTCATTTTCCTTTCTCTTTGTTCGTTTTGTCTTCCTAATATTTGTTTCCAGTTGCTAAAACTGGTACACTTAGTGCTGGTAATTATGGTACACCTGTTCCCTTATTGCTCATCCCTTGAGAGTGTCTTATTAATCTCCGGTACAGTTAACTGTGATTTTGCCTAATTATCTCAGGAACTTTTTTGTAGTTAAATTTACAAAAATATGAGTGCATCAGATCAGGGAAAATTTACAGTAATGTGATCACTTGTCTTTTTTTAAATCTTATTTGAAAACAACATTTTCAACTTCTAAATTTAAAAACTTAGAAGTAAATCGTGTGTGGGGTGTTTTTTTGTTGTTTTTCTCCCTAAAAATATAAGGTTTATATATCTGAAGTTTTTCCATCCATTTCCTTTGAGCAGGCATATGGGCAGCAAAGTTATGGTACCTATGGACAGCCCACTGATGTCAGCTACACCCAGGCTCAGACCACTGCTACCTATGGGCAGACAGCCTATGCGACTTCTTATGGACAGCCTCCCACAGGTAAAGCCTGCCTTGGACATACTTCCGGTCACAGCAGCTCGGTGTTTGCTAAGAAGCTTGTTACTTGTGCTCTTTGGTGTATATTCTGGTCCATATCTTGGCATCTGGCATTCCTAGGAGGAGTTATTTTTTTTCTCCTTTTCCCTTGTATTCTCCTTGAGGGATCGCTAATAGAATGTGGGTGGAATAAATTCCAAGGGAAAAAAGAACTTTTCCTTTAGTTATTTTATACAGTATATTGAATAATCTCACAGCAAAATGGCAAACATATAAAAGATTGTGCTAATGCTAATTTTGGGTAAGAATGAGCCTTCTTAAACTGAGCTGCTAGAAATATCAAACTGGTTTTCACATCTGTTTACTTCATCTGATAGTGTGCCCTCTACTTTCTGTTTTGTGCTTTCCACAGTAGAAGGGACCAGTACAGGTTTGACTGTCCTGCTCATTCTTGCATGGGAAATGCTTTCCATCTTGTTTAACCCTGTAATGTTAACCCCATAGGTGTTTTCATTAGTTTAACCCTCAAACTTTCTAACATCATACACAGCAAGGTGCTAATGGAAAACTGCTTCAGGTGCCATTCGCAGATCCATGCCTTTTTCTTTATGTGATTTTGGGGAAAGTTCTGCTTTTTTATTTTACATTTTTCTATGTCAAGCCTTAATAATAGTTCACCTTCCCAAAGGTACTTCAGATGACTCTTCCCCAGCTGACTCCCCCCATGTTCCCTGAAGGACAGGTGCATGATTAGATTTCTTTAGAGGTGAAGGCTGCCACCCTGCATGTCAATTATGTTTGTCTGTCTGTTGGTTTCCAGTCCAGACACATTTTATTTTCTATTTAAGTGATGATGAATTATTTTAATTCATAGTATGTCTTAAAATACATATATATATAGCATTCCACAAGCTAAAAAGTATTCTAAGAATTAGAATAGAATAAACTATCCTAATACTGGGGTTGAGAGTGGGGTATATGAAAATTATACAGTACTTTTGTGTTCAGTATTGTGTAATTGTTTTAGGATTCCCTACCTTCTCCCCACCTACTCCCATCTTTATTATTGCTACTATTATTATTAAAGAATATTTAATACAAAAATCTTACGGATGTAAAAACTTTTTTCCCAATCATCTGCAGTTCTCTAAGTTATATAGTCTATCAGAGTCTTTAGTGGGGAGAAAACTATTTGTAATTTATCTTATTGAATGACAGTGTCCTGGATTTGATGGGAAGTACTCCCTAATCTAAAACATATCTTGACTAGGTTGGGGAATGTTTAAACTTTCTGTTGGATTTTTAGCAGAGAATTTTGAAATTGTGACATGAACTTCATGTATTCTAACATTTTTTATTGAGTTATAATTGACATACAACAGTTTGGAGTGTACAGCATGATGATTTCATACTTTTATATACTGTGTTGTGAAATGATCACAGTAAGTCTAGTTCATCCATCAGCGCTTGGTTATTTTTTTCTTGTGATGAGAACTTTTAAGGTATATGCTTTTAGCAACTTTTTAATACATATGCATTGTTCTACTCCATTTTACATAAGGGACTTAAGCATCCTCAAATCACAGGGATCTGAAACCAATGCCCCACAGATACTGAGGGACAGCTATATACAGTACAGCTGTATTTCATCATAACTTGTTTATTTTATAACGGAGTTTTTGACCACCTTCAGCCAAACAAGTATAAATTCAAAAGAAATAACACTGCTTAGATCTAGCTTTTGGAATCCCTGGATCATTTTATAGGAACATGATAAAATCATTTGTAGGAAATGTAGTGGTCTTTCACAGAAACCAGCAGCTTTGATGAGCAAGAGATTGCACTTAAAAATCTTATAAGGAGCCCCATCGGTGTGGCTCAGTTGTTGAGTATAGACCTTTGAACCAGGAGGTCAGGGTTCAATTCCTGTCAGGGCACATGCCCAGGTTGCAGGCTCGATCCCCAGTGTGGGGTGTGTAGGAGGCAGCCTATCAGTGATTCTCATCCTTGGTGTTTCTGTCTCTCTCTCTCCCTCTCCTTTCCTCTCTGAAATCAATAAAAATATATTTTTAACAAATAGATATAAGGAATATTTATAGACTTTATAGTTTATGGAGGACTGTCATATCTCCCCTAAACCTCCCATGAACCTCTGGCATGAAGGAACAAAATTTAAACCTGATGAGCAAACTGAAACTGAACCAAACTAAGTAGGTCCTTGATAGGTAGTAAGTGGGTTCAAGCACACTTAACCACTTTCCTCCTTAACCTCACATTGCCTTATGTGTAAAAGTCATTGGGTAATTGTTGTAAGGAACATATAAAAGGACATTTTTCTCTTCTAGAATTTTTTTAAATTATTTCATGAAAAGGGATCCTATTTATAAATCTCAATTCATTAATTGGAATAGAAATTTTAAACTTTAATTTTTATTGGTAAAGCTAAACAAAAATTAGATTCGTGTGATCTTTTGTGTTTTGTTTGTTTAATATATTTTTATTGATTTCAGAGAGGAAGGGAGAGAAAGAAACATCAGTGATGAGAGAGAATCATTGATTGGCTGTCTCCTGCACACCCCCTACTGGGGATCAAATCTGGGACCCTTCAGTCTGCAGGCTACCACTCTGTCTCTGCCCACTGAGCCAAACCAGCTAGGGCTGTGTGATCCTTTTTAATACCTTTTTCCTTAAAGTTGTCAGTGCATGTGTTGTCTTTTTTGCTGTTGGTGTTTTTTTTTTATTATCATTTTGCTTTATTAATTTTTGCTCATTTTGCTTGGCTGCTTGTGTTGGTATTACAGATTAATTAAAAGATTATTAATTAACTTAGTGCCTTACTATAATCTTAGTACTACAAAGCTCTGTTGCTGCATAGTTTTATGACATGAGTTATTTCCCTGATCAGTTTTGTTTTTGTTTTTAATCTTGTAAATCTTCTAGATGGCCTTGAGCATTTTTATGTAGAAGGTAGGTTTTTTGTGCGTGTAGGGGGAAAATCTGTGTAGGATTAATAGTGTAGGTGGAATTAGGTTCCAGTTAAATTTAATTAAATGAGTGCTCTATGTGATTGACATTAAGACTCTGCACAAAACTGTTAATAAACGGTTAGATGAACAACATTCCAACTCAAAAAACTTACACTGTTTGAGGCTTCCTCTTTTTGAGAACAAAATTATCTTTGTGTATAATTAATTTCAGAATTTACAAAAAAAATGTTTGGGATGTAGAATATAGTTACTGTACCCTGTGAAGTTTAAGGTCCTAAATCTTAACTAAAATCACCAGTCTTTTTTTATTATTATGATTTTTCACAGAGAGAAAGGGAGAGAGAGAGAGTTAGAAACATCGATGAGAGAGAAACATCGATCAGCTGCCTCCTGCACATCTCCCACTGGGATGTGCCCACAACCCAGGTACATGCCCTTGACCGGAATCGAACCTCGGACCTTTCAGTCCACAGGCCGACGCTCTATCCACTGAGCCAAACCAGCTAGAGCTGGATGTAACTTTTTATTGTATGGCTCACTTGTGCTTACTGACCAGGAGGATGAATAGGAGGGAGGTGAGCCCAGCACCAGGAAAGGTTGTATCATCTCCCCCAGGAAAGGGAGCTGCAGATTTGGGGGCTGGGATAGGCGGTGTCAGACTTCCAGCCCAAGTTCCAGGTGAAAGGGCACGTGGATCCTGCCTGGTCCAGCAAAGACAGGAGCTAGACAGAGATCTGTGAGAACAGGTCTTTGTGACACTTGGCTGGGAAATAGTAAGGGGCTCTAGGGTCTACCTCCAATATAGTTGAGGAAAAGACCTTTTTGTTAGTGGTAGGTAAATAAGACAGGAACAGACCCGTGTGCTATTTCGATCTTAGCGTGGTGATAAGCATTTTTTTAGTTACTTGTTACCTGAAACAAAATTAGCAGTTCTTAGAAGTGTTCACTCGTTAACATCTTCCACTAAACATTAAGCACATTCTCTAGAATTTCCAGTGTCCTTAAACATGAACTGCTCATGATGGAGTGCTTGCAACTGAAAACAAGTAATTTCAAATTGTGGGTTTTAATGTTAAAACTAGTACCTGGATCCTTATTCGTAGCTATTTTAAAATGCTATGTCATTGCCTTTTATTTCCCTTTCTGGGACATTTTATTCGTGCTTGAGAGGTTTGGGGGGTTACTTAAATTCAGAGAATTTAGGTTTTAAATACTGGTTTGTCGCTGCTACTCTTACTGAAGGGGAAATATTTAATGGAGTTAAATACGGGATGGCTGAAAGTAGGTGGTTTACAAATGGTTCTGATAATGAGTGGTTAGGTAGATAGATCTCTGAGGAGCCAGAAATCTGACGCTACTCTTGTTTGTTCCAGGTTATACTACTCCAGCTGCCCCCCAGGCCTACAGTCAGCCTGTCCAGGGCTATGGCACTGGTGCTTATGATACCACCACTGCTACGGTCACTACCACCCAGGCCTCCTATGCAGCTCAGTCTGCGTATGGCACGCAGCCTGCTTACCCGGCCTATGGGCAACAGCCCGCAACCACTGCACCTGCAAGGTAAGAGCACATTCTCCTAACTCTACAGTGCATTGGCCTCAGGTATTCAGGAGAGAGAGCAACTACACACACTTGTGATTTAGTTTCTTTAACCGGTTTTGGCGATTTAGTTTCTTTTTAATAGTTGCTCTCACATACACTTAGGTGTGGGTTTTTGGTTTGTGTCAATTGTCACCCGAGGATATTCTTTTTCCCATTGATTTTACGAGAGTGGAAAACGGACGGGGCTGGGGGGGACACATGACACACACACACACACACACACACACACACATCGATTGTGTGCCTCCTGCATGCACCCCAACTGGGCTGGGAATTGAGCCTGCAATCAAAGAACATGCCCTAGACCAGAATCAAACCTGTGACCTTTCAGTCCAAGGACTGGAGCTCTAACCACTGAGAAAAACTGGCTGGGGCTATTTGTTTTTATTTGCTGGTGTTTAGAGGGGGCGAGAGAAAAACATGGATTCGTTCTTCCACTAGTTTATGCATTTCATTAGTTGCTTTTTGTATGTGCCCTGGCGGGATCAAACCTGCAACGTTGGCACATCGGGACGATGCTCTAACCATCTGAGCTATTACCTGGTCAGGGCACTCAGATGTTGGCTATATTCTTAGTCATTAAAGTAATGCACTAGAACACACTACACATTATTCTCCATTTAAAGAAATGGTACCATCCAGGGGCCAAAATAAGGATGGTCAGTGTAGTTTCAGAAGGGAGACCTTTTGGGGTAGGAGGAAGCTATTGTATTAACTTTTCTAAAACCAGGAGAAAATTGTGTGGTTTACCTCAAAACAGAACAGCTAATGATACTTTTACCTTTGGTTTTATTGGCCCCATAAATGAGTAACAGCTTTCTCTTTGGGTAAAACGTGTAGATAGGTTGCGGGGAGGGAGGTCATCATATGGTTTAAGAAACAATCATGTGACTCAGTTGTCAGTAAAGGATATGTCCATATCTGGAAGTCAACTTAAGGAGTTGACATGATCTTTTCTGTATTATGTAGTGGCTTGGTAATCCAAATATAACCGGCGAGTATAAATTCTTAACTGGGTACCCTGCTGGGGGGTGAATATTGGGGCAAAGTTCATACTCCATGACTGGTTAGCAGGTAAACATTATTAGTTATTACTTAACAGAAGATATTATTTGCTTTAGGCAGTGCACTTAGGTGGTTTCTGCATACAATCTTGACAGAACATTGGTTTCTGATTTGAAAGAAGTTGTCTTAGGGAATAAACAAGAGATCAACTTGTAGCCTAGTCATTTTGTCTGCTGTAGAGTAAGAAATTAGCTCTGGCAAACACTCATGAAATGCCTTCTAAAATGCACAGTGAGTAATCAGAGCTACTTGGTAGTTTAAATCTGCTAGACAGCCTGTGCAGTAAGAGCTAAGTAAACTAGCTGGTTCGCATAGGGCCTTGTTTCAATTGACCTAGGCATATCGGTGTCAGCAAATGTTTAAGTCCCACTTGATGCTCCGTTGGCAACAGGATATCCAAGCCATAGCTGGAGGGTTTTGTATATTAAATGGTTTTTTTCTAAATCATCCTTTTTGGTTCCTTTTTTCTTAATTTTCAATCCGTACCATTTTGAAACAGCTGTCTTATGATCAGTGACAGCTATTCCCCTTTCCACTGGAAAAAAGGGGGTTTGTGACCTATTTCAGCTCTTTGGAGAAAGAAAGCAGTACTTCCCCAAACTCTCTGTAGGTCTGCCTACTGATTCTTGGAGTTTTGCTTAAAATAGATTGAGCTTACTTTGCTACAGCCTTATTGCAGAATGTTAGAGCAAAGAGGTAATAGAAACCACTGTGGTTTTTTCCTTAGGATTGGGATTCGTTTTCTTCACTTAACAAGGATATTTCCCAGGTCGTCTGAGCAGGAGGGGCTGGGGGTATATACCTACCATGGTATTTCCATTTTTTTTTAAGTCTGTTCTTAATGAATGAGAAACATAAATCCACAAGTAGTACAGATCTATAAATGCCATGGACTTACATAAATGTTACTGTAACCTAAAACTTGAATTGTTAAAGTTTTCTTGTTTGCTTTCAAACGTCCTTTTTGAGAAATAGCATTTTCTTTCCTAACAAATTACCTCCCCTCTCATATCACTTAAATTGACAACACAAAATATTGTAACTACCTTTTTATAGCTGTTAACATGGAACAAAAGAAGCACTATGGCCCTAACTGGTTTGGCTCAGTGGATAGAGTGTCAGCCTGCAGACCAAAGGGTCCAGGGTTCGATTTTGGACAAGGATCCGTATCTCGGTTGCAAGCTTCTCCCCAGCCCAGGCCCTGGTCAGGGCACATGTAGAAAACAACCAATTGATGTGTTTCTCGATGTTTCTCTCTGTCTTTCCTTCTCTCATCCACTCTCTCTAAAATCAAGAGGGGGGGGGATATCCTCAGGTGAGGATAAAAAACAGAAGCATGGTGATGTCTCTTCTATGGATGTGATTCATTCATCCCCTCCCTTAGTGTTCGACACTGGGTTTGATGCAGTTCACTTTAAAATTGGATTTTCCAAACTCAGTCCTAATATTGCATATTGCTCATAGATTTGGGTAAGATTTGTAGAGTTCTTACCCAAGAGTTTTATGGTTGAGGGTGGAAAGTCTCACTTTTTTATTTCTTCTTTTAGACCACAGGATGGTAACAAACCCGCTGAGACCAGTCAACCTCAATCCAGCACGGGCGGTTACAACCAGCCCAGCCTGGGATACGGACAGAGTAACTACAGTTATCCCCAGGTACCTGGGAGCTACCCCATGCAGCCAGTCACGGCACCACCATCCTATCCTCCTACCAGGTCAGTCTCTGCTTCTGCTTCCTTGGGTGATCTGTGTTACTGATTCCCAATGAGGAGCCTGACCACATATTGTTAACTTTAAAACTTCAGTCCTGGGTTCCCATGCAGTGCCTGGCAGCCAGTAACTCTTCTAAGGACAAACAATATTCTTACCACTCCAGGTTCTTTTCAGTTTGCTCTCGCAGTTAATTCAGATGGCTGAGAAACAAAGGTTTGAAAGCAAGCAAAATGCAGGGCATTATATTTTTTAAAAAGAAACTTCACCTTAAGCATTTTGTATTTAACAATGCAGAGGTCCATTCATGCACTGGTCTTTTAATGGTTGAGCTGAAGCCTTTTATTTTTTATTACAGTTTATTCTGCATTCTTTGTCTTAGGTTAACCACACCAGCATCTACAACATCCAGGTTTAGTTTCTTTAAAGTGTAGGAAGAACTGCAAGTTGTTCCACTCACATTTAAATTGAAGCAAGTTTTCAGACTTGCCTGAATTATGCACTAAAGTGTTAACTTAGTTTTGCTGGAAGAAATAACCCCCCTTTTGCACTCATTTCATTGGTTTACACATTAAGAGCAGCAGGCAGAAACAGGCTTAGGAGCCAGTACAGCTGACTGGTAAGTGTCTCTGTGCAGCGTGGAGTAGCAGTGGGCAGTTCTCCCACAGAGCCCACCTGCACCTGCTGAGCTGGGAGCATCAATCTGGGGAGTTGAATAGCTGCACTTGGTGAAGAGAGCTGTGTCCATACAGCAGCTGTGGGGAGAGATGGTGATAGAGGCTTAGTTTGTGCTTTAAAATTTGTTTCTGTTTTTCATTATAATGGTTCATATGGAGTTTAATACCAATTCTTTAAAGCTTTATTTCTGTTTAAGAATGTATCTTTGGTTCGATTCCCTGCCATATCAAAAAGTTGAGTATCGGTATAATATTCATCTTTCATACAGTGACTTGATTCTGAAGTTTCTTTATCCATCTTTTATTAATGCCCAGATTTCATAGATGATTGACCTGTCTGAAAGTTTGAAACTATATATAGCAATTTGAAATATGTTTTTTTAATACATTTTTATTGATAGTATTACAGATATCCCACCCCCACCTGGTCTTCACCACCCTATTGCCCTTTGGTTTATTTCTTCTTGTTTCCCCAACCCCACATCGAGTGAAATGTGTTTTTATTGATTTTAGCGGGGGAGGGAGAGGGATAGAGTGGTAGAAACAAATTCAAAAGGTTGATATGTAGAAGTAACTGCATTTTTTAAGGGTTTCTATATCACATGCTATGAATGTCTCTTGTATTTAGCGGGCTTGAAGGAATAAACCTGTCCTTCCTAAAATGGTGTTTTTTCTTTCTTTCTTTCAGCTATTCCTCTACACAGCCGACTAGTTATGATCAGAGCAGTTACTCTCAGCAGAACACCTATGGGCAGCCGAGCAGCTATGGACAGCAGAGTAGCTATGGTCAACAAAGCAGCTATGGGCAGCAGCCGCCCACTAGTTACCCCCCCCAAACTGGATCCTACAGCCAGGCTCCAAGTCAATATAGCCAACAGAGCAGCAGCTACGGGCAGCAGAGTGAGTTGCTAAGAGAGAAAACCAAATAAGTGATTATGTTTGGAGTTTCTGAACATGGGGAAATGGTCTTTATCATTGTTTGCATTTTGATTCCAGGATGCATTTTTAGGGCATAGCATCCTGGCTCATAGCTTGGATGTCCCAATAAAGACTTCAGTGCTTTTCTTCACTTTAATTGTTACTAGTAGACCTTGCAAAAAAAGAAGAGATTCGTAACTGGCTAGAGCACATGATTGGCACTGGCACCCTGGTCTCTCTGGGGAAGTTTATGCAGTGAGTGAAGTCAGCGTTCCTATGGCCTGCCCATCCCACTCAGTGCCAATGAGCAGCTAGTTAACTGAAGACTGCAGTGTGGACAGTCAAGTAAACGCTATCTGTGTTTTCTATTTTGTTTACGTCCATAGGGGGAAAAAATTCCTCACAGGATAGTTTTATATACGTAGAGAAGTAATCAAAAACTCAAACCACCTTCACAATCTCCCCATATTGTGTATGTGGGGTTTTTTGTTTTTTTAATTAGGTTCCATCCGTGGGCATGCGTTGTTATGACTATGAAATAAGTAGTGCTGCTTGATGGAGACCAACCCTTAGCCATGTGCTAAAACCCTACGAAACTGGCTCTATTTTTGGAGATATCTTATAATCCAGAACCCTGCAGACTTTTGACTATAGGGCTTTTTGTTGTTTGGGAATGGTTTATTCTAGGCTAACTATAGAAGGTTTACTTCAGCTTTGACGAACCAGCACTTTTTGTTGAACTTAAAAGAGCCTATGATTAGAAGTGTGTTATCGAGGATGGTGCCTTGGTTAGTGCTTGGCACTTGAGAATTCTGTGATTCCAGGAGAGAGGACAACAGGCAGTGGTATAAATGCTGGTCCATGGCTTACAGATGTGACTCTTTCCTCAGGTTCATTCCGACAGGACCACCCCAGTAGCATGGGTGTTTATGGGCAGGAGTCTGGAGGATTTTCCGGACCAGGAGAGAACCGGAGCATGAGTGGCCCTGATAACCGGGGCAGGGGAAGAGGGGGATTTGATCGTGGAGGCATGAGCAGAGGTGGGCGGGGAGGAGGACGCGGTGGAATGGGGTAAGAGCAAACCTTTTCTCCTTTTACCTAATTTTGTTTCATCCATAGGATTTTCAATGGAAAGAAGGGACTGAAAGACCTAAGAAATTTATTTCTACATTTCCATGGACAATCTGTTGAGCCCAAGCCATCTTCTAAAACATGGAAATGTCATCTTTATGGCATATATTAAGTGGCAGTCTGCTTTTTCCCTGCCAGTCTACTGGGTTGGGTTGGGGAGAACAAAGAATGGTTTTAAAATTAGAGCTTTCAGTTCCCTTCATGGTTTCCAGAGGTCAAAAGCCTCTGTGGGTAATAAATAGACTTGGGATGGAACACACACACCCTTCTAACAATCTAGGTTTTTAACTAATTGTCTCTGAATGGTTGTCTTGAAATACCTGGTGTATATACTGCTAAAAAGGAATGCAGCTGTTTTCCACAATGTTTGTCCCCAACTTCTGTTTGTAGTCCGAACTGTTGAACATAATGCTGAAGATCTTGGTCCCCATAACCCCTTGAACTACAGCCTGAGGTGCACCTGGTACACAGTAAAATCCAATAGCTTTTTGCAGAGTAATGTGTATAGTTAATTCTAGTGTTACTCCTTATTGGAGATTTTAAGAAGTCTAAATCGGTTTGACCATTTTGATTGATGGCACAATCTGGTTTAGAAAACTTTGTTTAGATCAATAACGTAACCCTGCTACTGTGCCTGCCCTCCCCCTCCCTTCTCCCATCTCTCTTTTCCTTTCTGGTATCTGTACTTTGATGAAGGTGAGGTATAATGTTGGTGGTTAACATAATCCAGAAGGCTTAGTGCTGTGTGTGTTCTGTCCCGATATAAATAGTATAAAAGTTATGCAGAATGCTCTATTAAGTATAAATTGGATTTGATGCCACTGTTGGTTCAAGGGAAAATTGAATAGGATTTCTTTTATAGAAGTGGGCTTCAAAATTAAATAGATTTAAAATTTTTATCTTTAATTTTTGTATTAGCAAATCTGTTAACTATTGGAAGGTACTGATATTCTGCATAACTTAAAAGTCTTTGGTGAAATCTTTATTGGAAAAAACAATCATTTTTACAACATGCAAAATTTTATAAATAATTTGGTATAAAGTAAAATGGATCCTCTGATTTGGAGAATGTCATTCCATTATAAAGGTTTCACTTCTTTATGGATGTTTTAAAATAGACATAGACACTTGAAATTACTATCATCACGTCTCCAATCACCTAAAAGTCTTAGTATGTTTCAATTGCAAAACCAATTTCAAATTTACTTATTTTAATACTTCAGAAGTAATAAATTCTAATTTTGCTAGACATTGCTGGGAGAGGGGCCCACTCTTCCTGGATGAGAAGTCTCTCCTGGAGCCGTAGGAAAAAGTCATGGCTTTCCCCATAGGTCTTTCAACAGACTGGGCAGCAGTCGGTTGGACCCTTTGGGGACAGGACAGGGGCACCCCCCCTCTTTTTTATTGTGGTGTGGTGATGGTTTTCAGTGTCTTCTGCAGGTAAGGCACTCATTGTTGTTAACGTGCCCTTTTTCATTGCCTCAGTATTTTGATATTTTCATTGGCTGTTAAACGTGGAAACTTTTTAACATGCTTTGTCGCATTTATATGCTACAGGTTACAAAGTGAGAGCCTTGTATACACTTCAATACTTAAAAAGTACCCGTACTCAGTACTCAGCCGGCAGCATAATGAAAAGTGGGACTAGACACGGTGTCCATATGGAGAGGAAAAATATACATAGAATATTTTTAACAAAATGTTTTCATTGTATAAATGGAATCCTTCTGTAACTTTGGTAACTGCATATTTGTTGTTTGGTAATGAACCAGAGGAGGTATAATAATACTCTAGAATTGTGTAACATTAAAGTGTAAACTTTTGTGTTTAAAGAGAGAGAACATTTTATGGTGTGTACTTTTTTTTAAAAAAAGGAGACAAAGCTGCATGCAACAGCTTGAAATTGTATATTCAGGTATTAAAGGTGCAATACTGGTTAGAGAAAACTCCGGGCCTCCCACTGAGGAGCTGCCTTTATTTAATTTAAAGAAGGAAAAAGGCCCAATTCATAGTTTCTTCCCCTTTAAAGTATGTAAGGCAGTCACTTTATCCTGCCGTTGTTGTTATTCTCAACTGATATGTCTGTAAAGTTGCACCCCAGTCCATTTAGCCTTGGAATTGGTTGTAAATTTTCTTTTCACAGTGATTGTAAGTTCATTAGTGCCCTGAAATGTATGGCCTTATGCTGAAGATGGCTGGATGCGTCCTCTGGTGTGTGTTGTAGTCATTTAGTGTAGTTGTCTCCTCCTTTATTCTACTGTGACTGGTTAGGGAGCCCAGGGTCTCACTTGGTTCTGCCCTGGGAGAGGTTGAGGGTGCACCTTTATGAACATGGAAAGGTTCATTACCAGTCGTCCCAGCTTGCTCCTCCTCTCTACACCAAGCTCTCTCTGTTTTTCAGCTGATGGGGTGGGTGTTTGGGATCTATTTTCCCCCTCATTTGCCAAGTATTGCACTATTAATACCAGCCCCCGAAATGAAAGGAACCAGCCACACTGGTGTGTACAATCAGACAAGCAAGGTTGTATATAAAGGAGATTTGAGCAAGCTGCCCTGAAGAAAGGCATAGTGACAAGATGAGAGAGATGCATTGTTTGGAGATGTTTAGCCAGTGCCCTTCTTCCCCACGAGCCCCCCCAAGGCTCAGAGCGGTACTGGCTTTTAAAGGGAAAGGCCTTCATTTCTTCGTTTATCCCCCCAGCAGCGCTGGAGAGCGAGGTGGCTTCAATAAGCCTGGTGGTAAGTTTTTGAGTATTACCATGGATAGTGTTTAAAAAAAAGTCAGTTTTTAGAAAACTATAATTTTTTATTAGTTTCATAAGCGGTTTAAAAATGATCTATACAAAAGAGACTAATGGGTACTGCCGGCATTGTCTTAGGGGTAATAAGGTTAACCTATGGTTACAAAACAAAGGGTAACTTGAAGTATTGATCAACTGCTTCTGTAATATGGGGGAGAATACATTTTTTAAATTTGGTTTATTTGGAGGAAAAATTTTGACTTAAATTTAACACTAATTTGGCACATAAGCATTGAGAGTGTATTTGGTTAATGGTTTAAAAGAAAAAACCCTAGAAACTTTTCACAAATGTTAAAGGGGCACTGCTCCATTTTAGCGGTGCGGGTCATTTTGAATTTAATGAAGCCCCATCAAATGGTGGTATAGTAGATAGTTATGTGTGTTTGTAAGGTTTTGTAGCTTGCAAGGCATGCACTAATAATATTTTATATGATCTTTCCTGGTTGGCAGGACCCATGGATGAAGGACCGGATCTTGATCTAGGTAATTTTGAATTTTTATCTTTTACACTTTCACGCTGTGCTTTATACACGAATGGCACACAAGTGAGTATGTGGTAGAGTTTAGCAGCCTCATCGTGAAAGTGATATTCTTGGTGTCAAGGGCAGTCTGGGGCTTCCTTTTATGAAAAGCATCTACTCACCCTAGCCCGTTTGGCTCATTTGGTAGAGCGTCAGCCCGCAGACTGCAGGGTCCTGGGTTCAATTCCAGTTAAGAGCACCTACTTTGGTTGCCAGCTTGATCCCCGGCCCTGGTCGGGATGTGTGTGTGATACAACCATTCAGTGTGTGTCTCACACATTGACGTTTCTCTCTGACTCCCCCTCTCTCTAAAATCAATGGAAAAATATCCTCGGGTAAGGATTAACCCTCCCAAAAAAGTATCTACTCATAATAGCCTTAAACAAAATAAACCAGAAGTTTCATGGCTTTCTTATTAGTCTGGTTAGTAGTTCTAGTTTTGTGATGAATACCAGCAGACAATAGGGACCAGTTGGTTAATAAGCCTCTATACATACATGACAGTAACTAACTGCCTTCTGTCTTTATTCTGAAAGGCCCACCTGTTGATCCAGATGAAGACTCTGACAATAGTGCCATTTATGTGCAAGGTTTAAATGACAATGTGACTCTAGATGACCTGGCAGACTTCTTCAAGCAGTGTGGAGTCGTTAAGGTAAGTTAGAGCATAACCATGCAATCTGGCAGGTGTTCCAACCACAGTGCATTTTAAAGAAACTCAGTTGCTGTTAAGAGTAGTTTCTGAAGTTGACTGATTTTTCTTTCTGGGTGTATTGTGGCTTGTTCCTTAACATACCAAAAAATCAATTTTTTAATTGAGTATTTAAAAAAAAATAGTTTTAACTTTGAGAGGGAGAGAAACACTGGTTTGAGAATGCAGCATCGATCGGCTGTCCCCTGCACACCCCATACTGGTGATCGAACCGGCAACTCCTTGGTGTACGGGACAACATCCAACCAACTGAGCCACACCGGCCAGGACAGAAACCTTATTTTAAAAAGTGCTAAACATGGTTTTAAGCATACTTGATAACTTGGCCATAAGGCAGTACTATTGTGGGAATATATGAGCGTCAACCAGAAAAAAGCCATTGGAGTTTACATATAGCAGGGAACATAGTCAAAAAGGAATATAGTATGTTAAATGATAGAGGAAAATTATTTCCTCTAAATTATAGAGGAAAACAACACAGCAAGGAGGACAGGCATAAAAGGAAAGGAACGGAGACATCCATACAGCTCGGAGAGGAGAAGGTATTTCAGAATAATGGGGGGAATAACAAGTCGGGTCCTGGGGCAGGAGCTTCCCTGGCAAACTCGAGGGAGCTGGTGTGACTAGAAAGTTTTGATCTGAGTCACTGGAATAGTGGTGGGGTTGTTAGATGGGGAAGACTAAGAAATGGATTTTGAGACAGGAAGGTAGGGTCCCTAGAAAAGAAGCTCAAGGTTTGGGAATCTTGTGTTTCATTTATTAAGTACATTCTCTTAAAAACAGTTGGGTTGATTCTGGGCTTTTACTATATAAGCCATGCTGCAGTGAGCATTCTTGTACACATCTCCTAGTGCACGGTACGCTAGTTTCTCTAGTGTGTGTACAATCATTCTTGTTATTCACGGTGGTTCTAAAAGTCACTACAAATACCTGAGTTAATGAAGGCAAATCTCAGGTAGGTTATAACCCTAAAAACAATTCATCCGGTAGTTCTATATTTTACAAAGAGAAAAGGAAGTTCCATCGTGGTGACTGCCTTAATTGGTATTCAGATTTTCCCAGCTCGCCTCAGCATTGAATCTCCCTGCGCTGGCTGCCCCTCCCCTACAGTGTCCATCCTTGGGTCATCTGTGGAGAGAATGGGCAGAGTGTTGTCTTGTGTGACCTCAGCTGAGTGAGCATGTGCATCAGGCAACTTAAAAATTTTGCCACTCCGCCCTGACCGGTTTGGCTCAGTGGATAGAGCGTCGGCCTGCAGACCAAATGGTCCCAGGTTCGATTCCAGTCAAGGGCATGTACCTTGGTTGCGGGTACATCCCCAGTGGGGGGTGTGCAGGAGGCAGCTGATCAATGTTTCTCTCTCATCGATGTTACTGAAGGGTCCCAGGTTTGATTCAGGTCAAGGGCATGTACCTTGGTTGCGGACACATCCCCAGTAGGGAGTGTGCAGGAGGCAGCTGATCAATGTTTCTCTCTCATCGATGTTTCTAGCTCTCTATCCCTCTCCCTCTCTGTAAAAAATCAAATATTTTTTTAAAAAATTTGCCACTCTGCATGTGTACACATAACCACAAAAGTGCCACTAGTATTGATTTTGGAGTTTATAAATTTTTATTTTTGAGAGTAGGCAAATTTGTATATATTTAATCCATGAAGGATGAGGATCAGCTGTACCCAGGCATAAAATTGCTTAAGGTATGTACATGTTTAACTTCACAAGTTAATGGTATGGCCAACCACTTAGATTCCCGACAGTATTACTGATTCACATTCTCACCACTACTGGGAATCGTCTTTCAACTTGATGATTTTTCGATTTGCTTTTTCCCTGTACGCCATCTTCTGGGAAATGTGTTTGTGTCTTATTTTTCATTGGGTTGTCTATTTATATTGTCTGAATGCTGAATAGAAAGTTCCACCCCTACCTGGATCTATTTCTTGGTTGTCTTGTGTACTTTTTGTTAATTTGTGTGATGCTGTGTTAATAGCAGAGAATTACTATGTCGTTGTGCTAAATCTTAGCTAGTAAGACAAATTACTCTGCTTTGCTCTTTTTCTTCAGGAATGTTTTGCTATACTCCTGCCTCTTTTGTATACATTTTGGAATCCATTTATGAAGCTCCTTAAAATGCCAAATTGGGTGTTTACTGAATCTATAAGACAGCTTGAGAAATGATATTTTTATAATACTGAATCATCTTTTTTTCTCATGAACATTGTATGTCTTCATTTGTCTTATAATGGAGATTATAAAAGTATATATCCCATCATTCAGACCACTCAGACTTTATGTAAATGTCCCTTATTAAAGCATAGGTGTCAGTTACAACCTGTATATAAGCATTGTACCTTTTATATATATTTTTTAATTGATTTGAGAGAGGAGAGAGAGAGAAACATCAATGATGAGTGAGAATCATTGATCGGCTTCCTGCTGCATGCCCCACACTGGGAATCAAGCCCACAACCCTGGACATGTGCCCTGACCAGAAATCGAACCGTGACCTCCTGTTTCATACATCAACACTCAACCACTGGGTCACGCCAGCCAGGCGCACTTTTTTTTTTTTTTAAGTCCTATAATCAGACTTCCAAGCATCTCTAGGTATAAAAACAAATGTATAGATTGGACTTGGATCATGTTCACATTTAATACAAAACACACATGAAGCCATATTCTTGAACGATGTGGCTCCTGAACTTAAGCCAACTGCATCTGGTGTTCAGCTGAGAAACTAGTGATCTGTTCTGGCTCTGGAGGAAAAACCAGCTGTGTTGTACTTAATTAAGAACGCACAACCCTGTCTACTGTACTTAATGATTTGAAGGCTGTTTTTTAACTGCAAGTCCTTTCTTAGGTGGGCCAGCATGGATTCCATGGCTGGGTGCCTATAGTGTGGGCACAGACAGAGTGGAGTGGGTGCAAGGACACCAGGAGAAGGCGGCTAGGGAAGCAGTGGGACCCATACTGTTCACAGACACACTTTGGGATTTTGAGCCTATTTTGGTTCTTAGGATAAAACACATCTGGGGGAGGGGGGAATAATTTTATATATTGTAGCAATTTAAGAAATAAGTCACCCATAATTCCGCCACTCAGGTAAATTAACATCTTACTGAACATGAGTTTGTGAAAGATTGTTGCCTTTGACAGGGACTTGTCTGAATTTCATGTGGACTTTTTCCTCAAAAAACAAGTATATTATGATGACGGTCCCCTGTGCTGTTTGCTGCCTAGATGAACAAGAGAACAGGCCAGCCCATGATCCACATCTACTTGGACAAGGAAACAGGGAAGCCCAAAGGCGATGCTACAGTGTCCTATGAAGACCCGCCGACAGCCAAGGCGGCAGTGGACTGGTTTGATGGTAGGACCCTTGGCGTCAACCAGGGTGTGCTCGCTGCATCTAACTGCCTGCTGCAGGGCACATGGGGCTTGTAGCAATGCTGCCTGTGTCAACTCGCAGGGAACGAGGGCTTTGAATTCTGTTAGGACATCATTCTCTGACTTGGTTCTCTAAACACAGACATCAGGAGGTACAGACATGTTAGCACTGTACTTTTTAATTTATCTATGTGACCTTGACATTGATGCTGAGATTTTACTTCAGGCAAAATCAGCCCGAACCTGTCAAAGGACAGGTCCTGGCCCTCCTCTCTCAGCACTTCCTGTTCTTCCTGTCCCTACTTCCCACCCTGCGCTGGACAAGGGTGCCACCCCCACCCCACTTTTCCTCGGGGTTTTAAATATGTCTAAAGGCTTTTTTCTAGTCCTTCCAATAAGGCTCTTAGATTGTGGGCAGGGGAAGAGGGGTGGCCTCCCTTGCCTAGTCCTTTAAGAAGGAAGGAAGGAAGAGTTGAAGGTTGGGAGTAATTGCTGTTCTGTTGTTTCGTTTCT